TCATCTCCACGCGGGTGCAGCTTCTCCAGCTCTGCTGTGTCATGGTCTTCCACACTCCTGTCCTTGCCTCGTCCCACGAGCTGTGACTGCTCTCTCTGCTTTGCTTCAGAGAGCACCAGTGAGGCTGGCGCTGATCCCCCTGTATTGGAGATTTGGTATGCGAGTGTGCTCCTTTGGCTCAGCAGTGGAGGTGGCTTGGGAGAGGCACCGCATCCCTGCGGTGTCCTGTGCTTACACTGCTACTGACCAGGGTCCTGCCCACCCTGTCCCCTTAGTGCTTTGCTCACTCTGCTCATCTCCCTGCTGTTACTGCCTTCCCTGGCACTGGGGTAGACAGGGAAATGTGGCAGAGGCGGCCCCAGGACAGCAGCAGTGTTATGCTTAGACACCAGTCCTGCTTTGGGGGGCCCAGCACTGCGTTGTGGTCTGTCCTTGCTGACATTTGGCAGCGGGCTCAGCTGCCGCATGCCCCAGCTGCTGGGGTATCACACTACAAATGGCACCTTGTCCTGGGGCAGAGCCACTGCATTCCTACATGTCACCCACCTGAAGGGGCCCTGGGCTTTGTGTGGGAAGGATTGTCCCCCGGGACACACGGGGTAGGCAGGAGCAGTGCTGCTGGCTTGCTGGGCATCCATCAAGTGTCCTGTGGGAGCGTGGTTGCTGATCAATTTGCCATTGCTTATTCTGAAATAATCACATAAATGACCAGTTGATGAGGTTTTCTTGTGTGCCTGAGGGAAGGCTTCTAGCCTGGAGGACTGTGGGCCTGCGCATCCAATGGCTTGCACGAAAGGTTGTGGCATTGCTGTTTATTATGGTCCTTCTTGTGAGCAAATGCTAAGCTTGCACTAATGTTTGTGGAAGGAAGATAAGGAGCTGTGAATGGAGTTGGAGTGAATGGCTGGGCCACATCTGATGACTAGGGGTGTTTTTCCCCTCTTTTTCTCTCTGCTGGGGTCCCACTGAAGGATTGCCCGCAGCTCTGGGATGAGGCTGGCGGCAGAGGAGGCAGAGCGATGTGATTATGTGAGCACAGCTTGTCCCTCAGAGGTGAGAGCGTTGGGAGCCCTCCCGATTGCATCTGTGACCGCTGCTGGTGAGCTGGAGCAGGGACTGTAGCAGAAATCCAAACTGTCTGGGGTTTGGGTTTCCAATGTCCTACATGTGCCTTTGACAGCCAAACTCACAGTTATTCTGCTCTAGGGGGTGTTTCTTTCCCCTTTCTCCTTCCCGCTGCCTGGGAACCGAGGAGGGGAGCGCTGCTCAGTGTCTTCAAGGCAGGAAGGAAAGCCTGGAGCTGTTTAAAACTCGCAATCTTCAGGGAATTTCAGTCGCCGTCCAAGCCTGTTCGCAACCAACTAAATAACGGTGCAGGGTTTGAATCGCTGGCCCGCCTCCGCAGGCAGCGCTGCCTCCTCCCTCCGTCCTCCCTGCCTGTACCGAGCTCCTGCCCGCACTGGGGCTCTGCCCGGCGCTGTCTGCCGCAGGCAGCAGCCATGGGGGTGCCGGGGGGGGCCCTCCCCAGGGCTTACACTGCGGTCTAGGGGGGCTCCATGCCTGCCCCCCCACCCGGTCCATCATGCCATTGCTGGATTTCTTCTGGGCTTGCTTCAAAAGAGCCAAGGTAAGGGATTGTCTGTTTAATAGTGTGTCCTTCTGACACCCTCCCGGTTTCAGGAGAAGCTGTCAAGGGGTGGCGAGGGAGGCGTTTTTAGCAGGGCTGGGGCTTGCTCATGGTGCTTGACATCTGCTCTGGAGGGATGTCGTGCCCGTGCCCCACACACATGTGAAAGGTTCATTGCGAAGGGGCTGCATGCGGGTGTGTTAGTCAGCATCAGCCAAGTACCCACGTCCCATAGCCAGGGCAGGTAGGGTGCTGTGCTCGGCTGAACGCAGGCAGCATGGGCATAATGGATGTGGCACTGGTGAACAGGGCAGTCAGTGGGCTTTGTGTGTGTGTGTGTGTGTGCGTGCACTATCACCCCCCAGCACGGTCTGCCCATACCGGGCCTGGGGACCCCTGTGCACATCAGGGCATGGCAATGGGGACACGTTTGGCTTTGCCGACCTGTGGCAGCTGGAAGTGGGATGACAAAGGAACAGTGAGACTGGAGGCCTTGAGTTTTTAATTTCCTGCAGCAGTGGTTCTCATGGCATCTGGTATTTTTCATTTGGGTTTAATTCCTCATCTGTTGCCTTAATAACATGCAACTCCCTCTCTGGCTGCCTGTTTGTTTGATTTATTGTACCACAGCCTGTACTGTGAGGTGGTAGGTGTGCTGGGTAGGTTTTGGAGGTATTGTCAGTATGGATTTCAAGAGCTTTGGATTGGAAAAAGCAGTAAAATCCCTTTACAACCAGTGCTGTTCACCAAGCTGCGTCAAGCGAGTGGATCTGCCGTGGTGAAATGAATGCGGAATGCGCACTGTTCCCCCGGGGCTTCAATGGAAAGCTCAAAATAGTTGAGTCTAAAAATGACATTTGTGAAATTCATTAATAATATTAGTAGCTGTCTTGTCCCTGCTGTCTCCAGAGAGCTTAACACGTCCTTGTTAACCCTCCTTGTCCCTGTGAGCTGTGTGTTGTCATCGCCATTGTACTCAAGGTGGTGCAGAGATGGAAGCTGGGTCCCACATCCCCTCTTGCCCTACTGCCATGGACTCCAGCAAAGTTGAAAGCAACCAGTAGATAATGGCACCATCACCTCGAGCCCGTCAAAGGCTCCGGTGGCCCCAGTGGCATGGGTGGGAGAAGGTGGCTCCTGTCCTCACTGTCCCCAGCTCCCCCGGCAGCAGCTGCTCCTCTGGCTGTGGCCCCAGGCAGTGCGCAGGGCTTCTCTCACCCTGGTGCATTCCTGGCCCATCTCACTGTTTGAGGACACCTTCCCAACACCCACCGGTTTTACTGATTATGCCAGTATTTGTGTCTCCTTCTTGCCTAAGAAATGCTTTGCAGGCTGCCTGGAGCAGTGTGGCGACTGAGCACGGGGAAAAGTTGTTTATGGGTCTGGGAGTAAATCTTTTCCTTGGTTCTGGGGCTCTTTCTCCCCATTGTCACCCCTGGGCCCTAAGGAGTCATGGCCAGGGACCTGTGCATGGGCCCATGATAAGGGCTTTGGTGCCAGCCAGGTGCTGGGAGGCTTGAAGGCATGGGGACATCACCCTTCTGCTTGGCAAGCACTGATGGCCTCATGTGGGGCTGAGGCTTCTGCCTGGTTTCCTGCTTTCCTCCCTGAGCCGGTGTTGCTCAGTTACTCATCATGAACAGCAAAGGAATCTCTTGAAGAGGGAGAAATGTGCCGGGCTCTGCCTGTGGGATTAACGCTTTCTGGGTTAAATGAAATAGAGCTGTGGCTGGTGGAAAAATCTGTGGGGAAAAAAGAAGGTGCTAGGGCCAGGACATGACAGCCAGGGAGAGGAGGCTCCCCAGAGCTGCCTTAGCACCAGGACCAGCTTTCGCTGCCCTTGCCATGGCCTGGGAGAGCAGCCCTACCTCATTGCCCACTCTATGGGCATCTGCTACACGTGCCAGCTGCAAGGCTGATTGACGGCTGCAGAGCTTGTGATAACAGACATGATCACATCCCAGTGATCATCTCCCTGTCCAAATGCTTTCAGCTCTGACGCTCTCCAGCTGCCCACACACTGCCAGATCAGGGCCTGGGCATCCGTGCAGGCTCTCCCTGAGGAGCTGAGCATGCAGCAGCTCCCAGGGCTTCCCTGCAGTGCAACACATTCATCAGTACCAAATGCGCTAGTGGACCATGGCGACCTTCCCACCGCAAACACAGGCACGCTGCGAGGCTGAGAACTTCGGCCCCACTGATGGGCATCTCTTGGGCAGGCGCTGCCATGAGAAGCCCAGCAGCAGGGAGATGGTTAAACCCATCTCCACCTGGGTCATCCCCGCCCCTGCGGCTCTGGCAGGAAGAGGGGTCCCGGGTGGCGCGTGGGAAAGGCCGGCTCAGCAGCGCACTGCATTCCTGCAGTGAGCCTCTCCAGCACCTCTGGCCCTGCTCAGTGGGGCCGGGATGCACTGGGGGGGGGCTTGCCTGTGCCTGGAGAGGGACCTGGGAGTTTCCTGTGCTCTGTGCTCACCACAGGATCCAGGCAGTGCTGGGTCCCTCCTGCTTCTCCACCTCCATGCTCTGCTGTCTGTAAATCCCCTTGCTTTATCCCTGCAGAATTCCAGCCATAGATAAGGATCAGACCCTGTGCATGGTGCTAGTGGCCCCTTCCCCATCCCCTGTGTTGTGCCAGTGGAGAGACTTGGGGAGCTACAGTCCAGCCTGCTTTCAGCTTTCCTTTATTGTTCTCTTCCTTTCTTTATTGTCGGCTTTCCGTGCCTGCAGCCACCATTGTACGCTCTGCCTCCAGACCTACTAATGCAATTAAAATGTGGACATCACTGCCATCTGTGCAGCCACAGAGGTACCAAGGGATGTGTTCGGGGGACCTCAGCCTGGTTCCCTTGCTGGTTTGATCCCTTGCTGTGGATCTGTCAGCTCTTGCCTCCCTCGCTGTCTCCTCTCTAGCAATTTTGCAGCATCCTTGTCAAGCAGAAAGGCCAGTCTCTCCAGACATCCCTTTTTCCCTGGCTCTGTTGTCTGCACTATGGATGCAGAGCCCCTGGTCCTGGCTACTGCTGCTCCTCTGATGGCTTCCAGCGGGCTGGGAGCCACAGTGTTGGGCACGTGCTGGGCACACCGTGCTTGCCCAGTGCTCTGGGCTGTGTTTGGCTTGGTGGTTTAAAGCCAGGGGGGCTGATGCATTTGGGACAAGCCTTTGCTAGAGCAATGCTTGTGCTCAGAGCTGGAGCAGGCAGCGCTGGTCCCAGCTCCTTTCCTGGCAAAGAGGGGGGGCTGAATTGGGGCCTGAGCTCAAACAAGCAGTAGGAGTCCATGAGCATGACAATCACAAAGATAACAAAATGATTTCTCTTTTCTTTCTTTTCACAGCGCTTCACTTTGCTAGAAGATAAAAAAGATGCAGGTAAGCTGTGACAATGTTTTTGGGGCAAGAATGCCCTTGCTGTGGGATGGGCAGAGATTACAAGTACCCTCCTCTTGCTGAGCTGCTGATTTCTTCTGCCAGCAGTATGATGTTCCCCCAACTGTATTGTTCAAAGGGGTAGCAAAGGCAACCAGCATGAGGCAGTGCCAGCCAGGCTGAGCCCCAGCAGTACAGGAGGGACCCCAAGACATGTCCAGCCCCTCCTTCACCCCATCCTTTGCTCCATCCTTTCCCCACCCTGGCTGCAAGCATGGCTTGGCCGCGTGTTGCAGTTATCACCAGTGACATCCTGCCACTGTGTGTGTAGAGTCCCCCCTGCAGAGGCACAAGTCCCCTCTTGGTGTGTGTGTGCTGCTGTAGCTGTGCCCGTCAACCGGCACAGACTGGCAGCAGCTCTGCTCCTTTCTGTTTCCTTTTCGATCCCTCTCTTCTTTATGGTGAACGACTTTGTGCTTTGCAGACAAGCTCATTAGGACCTCCACAGACTTGAAGCTGCTGTGCCACAGGAAGGAGGGTCGCCCCCAGCTTGCAGCCCCTCAGCTATGTGTGATTGAGATGTCTCGCCAGTGACAGCCAGGCAGGAGGGAATCGCGGTGCAGCTCTGACTGAGCCACGGCTCTTGTGTGCATGTTCATGGGCTGCTTCTGCCCAAACTGTCCCTCTGCAAAGGCAGGGGGAGAGGTTGGGGTCAGAGCCACTCTGCCACTGAGGGGGTCATGAGGGCTGGGGAGGCCAGAAGCTGGTGGTGGGCTGGAGGAGGAGGAGGTGTGCCCCTCGGGAATGGTGATCATGGGGTTATAGGCTCCTAGATGGAGCATGGCCAGCTGCTTGTTCTAAGAACAGGTCCCTGCTGCCAGAACTGTCTGAAATAGTGTTCTGATCCTGGCTGCTGCTTTGCTGACTGTGAAGGAATGCTCTGATCTCACTTTGTCCTCATGTTCCATCCCAGAGAAACAGCCCCACTGCCAAGCATGGTCCAGCTCATGGGCAAGATGGGTAAAAATCTTATCATTTCACTGGTTGGTGCAAGGGAGGCTTTTTGCAGGGAGGGAAACACCGCCTTACAGGGAGTCCATGGGATGTGCCTGGGGATCTCCCAGCAGTTCCACTAACTGGAGGGCAATGACCTGGCCTCTTGTTTTCCATCCACATAAGGGTTAGGTGAGCGCTAAACCCAGGGGAGCAAGAGCCCAGGAGCAAGGAAAGCTCTGGACAACAAAAGGGGCTTTGTGAATGGAGCTCCAGAGGTAATCCTGGGTGGTCTTTCTTGCCCTTTCACAGGAGAGATTAAGAACATGAATATCAAGAGCTTGTTAAGAAGGGTTAAAGAGCCCCGGGTAAGGGAAGGGGCAGAGAAGACTCCTACAGAACACATCTGTGGCTAGGACTTTGGGGGCAAGAATATTTCTAGGGTATTTTCCTTTGGGTAAAACTGCCTGTAAAATCCAAGTCTCAGCAACATTCACGACAAACCCAGCCAACACCTCCCTGGGCACGTCCACATCTCACCCTGACAAGCTCTATGCTGCTGGAGGGATGCTCAGCCACCACAGTGTCATGTCTGTGGAGGGATCTGAGGGCTGGAGCCCTCACATACAGGAGCAGCTATGGTGTCATACCAAAGGATTTGTCCCCTGGATTCTATGCACCATCTGGAGCCGTTGTGGCATCACTGCATCCTGCAGCAGCATGGTGCCCAGTGGGGGCATGGCTGAAGCTCTCCCTTTCATGGACTTGGAGCAAGCCTGAAGTCAGTTCATACCCTCCGCTGGGGTTTTTAGAGCTCTGAGAAGAAGCTGGTGCAGTTGCTTTGCTGCCCTCTCAGCTGATAGTCCCCAGAAGGTGCTCGGACAAATGGGGTCACTTAAGGAAGCACTCAGATGATGGTCTCAGGAGACTCTGTGTCCCTTCCCTGATGATTTTCTGGCCAAGAGAACCCAAGCTCTGGAGACAACAGCATGAGGCAGGGTTGAGCTGCTTCTGCGTTTGTCCTGGGAACGGTTGGGAACATGTCTCCTGTAGCTCTTCCATTGCTTTCTGGAGCTGTCCCTGACCCCGCATACAGCACTGCTGCTCTCCCAGCACACACAGCAAACTCCCCGAGCTGCTTCCCAAAGTGCAGCCAGGCTCATTCCTGATTCCCAGGCCCCATCCCTGCCTGTGAGCATCTGGGAGCCAAGGCTGTGCTGCCATCGTCCCTTCCTTGAATGCCGACTGTACAAACCCACTGCTGCTTCCCACTGTCATTAAAATAGATGGGCATGCTGCGCTCAGCTCCCTCGGCAGCAGTGGTGGAAAACAACTTGGATTTCACTGTCTCAGGGGCAACCTTTCAGCAGGAACATGCAGGGACTCGGTCTGGGGGGACATTGCTGGCGCTTGAGCCAGAATCGAGTGCTGAGGAAGACAGTGAACGGTCATCACAGATAGCCACCTCCGTAGGCAGTCACTGGCTCAGTTTGGATTGAAGGCAAATGGCCCAGAACTTTGATTGACCAGCCCAAACTATGTGGTGTGCTACCCGGGGGAAAGAGCCCGGTCTGAGTCCTCCCATCCTGTGGCATAAGCAGGTAGCCTGTGTCCCTGCCATGGCACTCATTACCCTGACCAGCAGCAGAGCCCCAGCTCGCATGGCTATGGGGTCCCCAGCCCCAAGCCATCCTGCTGGAGCTGTGCCCACCAGGGCCAGGCTCTCATGGATTTCCTAACCCTCTGCTTCCCCTCCTACATTCACTTCCCTTGTATTGTTCTGGACAAAGCTAAAAGGAAACGCTCGCAGACCAGCCATCACGTGAAAACTTCATCCTCCAAATCAATTCCTGACTCTAGCAGCATCGGGCCTCTCCAGAGGTAGGATGGGGAGCACACTCTGCAAATGTCATTATGCAGTGGCCTCCTCTGACTGCTGAGAGATGGGGATTGTGCTTGCAGCTTCCTTCATGCAGCCAGGCAGTGATGGCATTACAGGATTTCAAAAGTGGGCCTCTGTGACTGGACGTGGTGAAATAATAGAGAAAAGAAGCGTGAGGGACTCTGCTGAACTTTTGCCCCTGCATGAAATAATAAGGTTGTATTTACCCAGCATCTGGATCTCTGAAAATAACCTGCTAAATTTAGCTGTTGTTGATATGTTGTCACAGCTGAGCTATTCTTCTTCTCTCTTTACATGAAAATCTCTTGTGCTGGTTCTGCTGGTTTGAAGCATGAGCCGTTCGTTCCTCGCCTGGCACATGTGTGTATGTTCAGTGCCCTGTTTTGGGGTGAAAAGATGGAGATTGGGATCTGGTTTTCTCTCATTGCCTGAATTGGGTGAAAGGGAGAGAGTCAGGGCTGGTGGGGTGCTGCTGTACCCTGAGCACCAGGCTGCGCTCTGGTTGCAGCACCAGTGTAAGGGAGGGAACTGGAGCTGATCCATGGCTTGAAGGAGTGAGTGGGATGCTGGATGTTGCTGCAGTGACCTGTTTCTGGGGCCTTTTGCAACTCCCTGAGAAATTGCTGCCTGTTACATGGTGGAAAATGTGGTCACGGGTCTGGATCCCAACTGAAGAGGTGGGAAGTAGAAAAGATGAACTGAATGTGATTATGAGTGGATTTGGTGTGACATGTGATGGAAGTGACTCGGTGCTACTCCTTCCTCTTCTCTGTCCACCCATGGGCTGTCTCGGGTTTGGCTACTGAATTTTGCTGATATGCTGATTTCCCTCCTAAATGAACTTCAGGTCCCCCTGGGACCTGGGCCAGCAGCAGCCCCATCCCGGAGCCCCACTGGTGCTGGCCTGGGAGCAGTGGCACCCAGCCCATGCTTGGATGTCATGTGCTTTTGGGTATTTTTCATGAAGGGAGAGGGTCGATTCCCAAATACTCTTTCCTTCTGTTAAAGCCCCTGTTGCCTTACTGCTGGGCATTCTCTTGTCACTGAGGATTGACCCTGTGCCTGGCTAGTGTAAAATGCTCTGTGATTAGCTCTTAGTAGTAAAAAAGCTTTTTACAAAACTAAAAAGATAATTGTTAAATGAGAATTCACACACTAAAAATCACCCTGCCAAGGCAGCTTCAAAGCAAGCAGTTTATGCTTCTTTCCGTCATATGTTTTCTCAGGAGCTGGGACAGCATCTCCTGAGGCTTGAGGCACAATCTCCAGCGTTTCCTTTTCAGACTTCTCAGCTTATTTTTGATCCACTGAGCCCTTTGATACCTGTTTATCCATACTGGTTTAATTTCCCCAATAAGGTAGGCTGTTGCTGAGGCCTCTGGGCAGAGCCAAGGTTGCACTGTCTGCCTTTTCCTGCCTGTCCCTGGGGTCACTGCCTGGGGATATTTATGGGTGGGTCAGTGCCTTCAGCGCTTCAATAAACCCTTTTGTCTGTGCCAAGTGCTGCCATCCCCATCAGTGCCTCGTAACACCCAAGTGCTTTCTACAAGCTGCTATCTTCCTGCTGCTGCTTCTCTGCAAGCCGCGGAGAGCTGCTTGCAGGGAAGGTGGCTCCCGTAGAAATCCACAGAGCCAGGCATGTAATTACATCCTTGGTTAATTAACACGAACCACCATGGGGTGATACTGGCTTGCAAAGGACTCCTGTTAATATCTTGGCTTACAGCTATTTTAAACACTTTTGGCTTGTTCTCACGTCACCTTTCTGCTCTTCAGGACAAAAGCAGGCTGCTGGGTGAGACCCCCTCCCCGGGCTGAGTGCTGAAAACGTGAAACGGGGAAAAATGCTTTAAAGGAAAACCAAAACCAACTTGGCCCCTCTTTGGTTTTTCCAGTAAACGATTGTGGGGAAACTCTTTGTCAGAGGCAAGAGGCCCTTCCAGCCCCTCCACAGAACGAGGCCATTTCTTGTCCTTGTTCCCCCCATAAAAATCTCTGTAACTCTGAGACCTGGCGGCTGCTGCCGTGACTGATCCCCATCCCCCAGCACATCTCCCTGCTCCTTCTGAGGCTTTAATTTCAGGGTCTGGAAGTTTTTCTGTTTCCTGTAGTTAACAAAATGCAGATTCCCCCCCCCCCCCGAACAGCAGGATCCTATCATGAACAGGGCGATTTTCTTTGAAGGCCAAAAAGGAAGAGCCTTGGTTAGAGCGCAGGATTGTCGGCTGGGCTGTGGGGCACTTGGGAAGTGCCAGGCACGAGCTGGGAAAAGGTCCCTTTGGCTGCTTTGTGCCTATCCTGTCGCCAAGTGTTTCCCATGACAGCAAGGAACAATTGAGGCATAGTGGAGAGAAACTTCAGGCAAGAAAGTACATTTATATCTGCATCCTCTGTGTGGTTTGCATGAGACCAAAAGGATCAAGAGGGAAGTTTTGAGTTGAGAAAATGCATTGAGGGCTGGTGGAAAGGTTTCGCAGTGTAGTATTTTTTCTTTGGTAAAAGGGTTGACATCTGAGCTGCATTAAAAAGAAAGAGAGGAAACATTGCTGCAAAGAAAGGCGATGCTTCCTGTGTTGGAAATAACCTGTCTGTATTTCTGGAGAGACTTTGCTGTAGACGGAGGAGGGACTGGGCTGTGCGAGCAAACACGGCCTTTGTGGTGCTTTGTAACACTCCTGTGGTTTTCTTTTCAAAGCAGGAGAGGTCAGATGGGGAAAATAAAAGCAGGTGTGAGGTGTTTGCAGGCCAGTCTGATCATGTTAACTCCTTCTCTTCTTAATGAAGAGACTGAATCCTGCCCGAAATGTCCGCGGCGCTTGGAACAGCAGCCCCGTTTGAGAGCGGGGTGCGGGCATTCCCCAGTGCACCGGCGCCGGGGTGGCTCAGTTGATGAGGCTGAAATGCCTCAGGAACACCTGAATCGCCACCTCATTGACCCGGCACGGTGGGAGCGGGGCCGGTTCGCACGCAGCACGCTCCGGGATGCTGCGGTCCCTGAGCAGAGCAGCGCGGCCGCTGCGCAGCACCAGAGGGGAGCAGGAGCCTTCCGTGGGGCGAGCGGCTTCCTCCGAGGAAACCAGGCGGCCTGTGCGCCTCGTCGGGGGAAGGAAGCGGGCGGGAGAGGCCGGGGGCAGGCGGCCGCCGGCGGGGGAGGAGCCGCGGCCGCTCGCCCGTTCCTCCGCGGAGCGCAGCGATGGGCAGCCGCCGGGCCGCGGTCGGGGGCTGTGGCTCCGGGCGGTCCCTTGGGCGGCGGCTCCGCCGGGCTGCGGCTCCGGGTCCCTGCGGGTGGGGACGGCGCGGGCGGGCAGGTGAGTGCCGGCAGGACCGGGGCCATTCGGCCGCTCCCCCCCGCGCTCTGCCCCGGCTCCGGGGGTGGAGGGGCAGCGGGAACCTGGGGGCTTCCCTAGGGCGGAGGAGCCCTAGGGCGATGCTGCCCTGCAGTCCCGAACGGAGCGGGCGCGGCGGTCACGGTGTCCCCTAGAGCGGGGCGGCACGGGTCGTGTCTGCTGGTGCCGCCGAGGGAGGCTGCAGCGCGGGCTGGGGGCTGTCGGTGCGTCAGCAATGGCTCGGAAGATGTTTGCATCGGGTAGAGCCTTGAGCCCTGTCACTGCACCGCGCTAGGGACTGCGTGTCTGCGCGCTCAGGTGGGGCAGCGGGGATGCCACGATGCTACTGCGGCTCTTTGCAGCTGGAAACACCAGGGAGTGATGGAGGGAAAAGACCCCCCCGTTTGCATAAACAAAAAGCGCGTTATTTTGTATCTGATAATGTCAAAATGATGCTTGTATTAGTCTTTGTATTAAGACTGTTAAGATGCTTAAGAATTTTTGTTCACTTGGAGCTTGAGTGCTAAAGCTAGTTTGATGTGGCTTTTAAAGATGAATTTGATTAGCAGCATGTGGTAATGATCTTGAAAGCAATTTATTTTGGGTTGTGTGAAAGAGGAACCACTGTGGCTTGGTTTTTCGGTCAGCTGCGATGCTCAGTGAAGAATTACATCTACCTGCCCCTGAGATTTGTGTTGAAGACTCGGTATTCCTGCTGTTAAGCAATCCCTTTGGGAATGGCCCAGAATGTATCTGATGGACATGGGTTATTCCTCAGGGGTGGGGAGGTCAGCTTGGTTTGGTGTAGATGAGGAGAAAACGGTTTTCCCAAGAGCTCCCATGTCCAGACTCCGCTACTGCCTTCCTGGGTGAGTGTAGCCAGGGGCTTTTGGCCCAGCGAGGCAGGGAATGGAGGGGGCAGGACACTGTTTTGGGATGGTCCACACAGGACTGGGAGCACAGCAACAAATCCTTTCTGGGGGCCTCCCAGGGGGTCCATAGCTACTCCTGGGAGCCAACTGTGCCAGCAAGACTTCCGAGAGGTTAATTAGTGTCTTACCTCTTTCTATTGGTCTTGGTAAACCCTATATGTGCTTCCTAAGGTTGGACCAGAATGGAAACCACTTTCTTAGTCTTGCAGACCACCACTGTTATCTCTGGAACCACAAACCTTCCTGTTTGTTGCACTCCCAGTACAGACCCGCAGTGGTTAGCATTGCCTGTGAGCCCTGATGGCATGGACAGTGCCATCCCTTCTGCCAGGCTGCTCGCCTCTCTGCCTGCCATGGCAAACCCATGCCTGGATTGGAGGACCTGGTTCTTCACGGTCACCTTGGTGGTACTGTTTGCATGGAGCAAGGACTAGCAGCAGTATCCCCCCCCCCGCCAGTGTAACAGGAATGGCTCAGGCATGAGTGGGTGAAGCAGAACAGTTGGTGTGATTGAGCTGATTGCTGCTTCTCGTTGCTCGCCAATGTGTTTACCTTCAGGAGCTAAAGGCTTTTTGCTCTGGTTCAGCAGTGGCCACATAATCCAGATTCCTCAGATAAATTCCCGCTGTTCCTCTGAGATCTGTGGCTGCTGTTTTAATTGCCTAGAGCTCTGGGCCAGACACAGGACCCTTGTTGCACAAAATCAGCTCCCATGAATGATGCTGTTGTGCTTATGCCTCTGAGTTTCTCTTTTCCTCCCTCTTGCCCTCCTCCCGTGGAAGCTGGGGAATTTGGTATTGATGGAATCCTGCCTGCTGTTCTCATGCAGCTGGTGATACTGGCTCCATCTGCCATTTCATGTAAGCCAGTTAACTTCTTTGCCCTGGTTTTCCACTCACAAACTAGGATATCAAAGCCATCCTCCTCCTGGGTGACCTGTGCTGCAGAGAGGCCCTACAGTGGGCAGATGGTTGCCATGTGGATCTGCTCTGCATGGGCACAACCCTGGTGAGACCTCAGCATTGACAGTGGGTGGGTTTGATGCTTGCATGTAGTTGG